GGGGCATTTGACTTTTTGAGCAAATTTTCAATCAAATGCCCCACCGTCGGGCAATAAATATCGGTCAAATGCCCCACTATTTTGCAATAAATTGCAATAAATACTATATTAATAAAGGTTAATTGGTTCAAATTGCCCCAACTTGGGGCTGCAATTGATGATCAAATACCCCACATATGCCCGACCCCCCCCCCCCCCCCGGGGGGTTAACATTGATAGGTGCATTATCATACAGACAGTTGCGAATGCAAATAATTTAAGAATTCACATCACAGAAAGTGCATAAAATTTTATTGAAACTACAGTTGTAACCTATATTTTTGCTCAGTCTGTGGGAAATGTAAGAGATATTTATCATATTTATATTGACTAACGCCAATTGAACAATCTGCTTCTGAACAAATAGGAAATCAGATAGCAACTGATAAACAAAAACCAAACCCAGAAAATTCGCAGTCTGATAGTAATAAAAGTATCTCAGAAAAATCTGTCTCAATGAAAAATTTTCAAATAAGAAAATAATATATATGAAGCAATACATCAAAAAAGAAGGTCGAACAACGAATTAAAAAAAAAGAAAGCGAGAGAAAAAAGTCATAATAAGAAATTCGAATTTTGCGAAAATTAAGGAATCTTGGCAAAAAGCCACTGCAACATACAGACAATTAAATCCTGAAAAAGTAAAAGAGAATTTTAGGACAGCCACTACAACATCCAGACAATCAAAATCTAACTAGTTGGAGCAGCTACTAAGCTGCTTACAAGTTACGAAGGGAGTGATAAGGAATTGTTATCTCTTAAAAACGTTGTTCTAATCCACATTTTTGAGTAACGTGCCTACTCTAGCCTATGCATGTCTGCTTTAGCCTGTGCCTGCTCCTACTGTTCTAGGTTGTCCGCGACCCTATACAGTTCTTGCAGTGTCTTTTTCAATTTGAAACTTTGCCCTATCCTTGGATCCCTAGTTCCCGTAGTGGTACCATATTGAGCTTGCTGAGTAAATCCGTATATGAACAATAGTCTAGGACCTGTATATGAGTTTGTATGCATTTCATTTAGGACAGATAATCTCAACTGTTTTAGGGTAAGTTGACTATGACGGTCAACATGGTAACGCTGCCCGAACCCCAATCCGGGGCGAAATGTCCGAAACTGACCACACCCAAAAACGACGCTTTCGCCATACTGCTA